ATTGTACTTCTTGGAATACCTTCATAATCTGGGTTATACAATTCCCGAATATACTGAATAAAACCAGGATGTGAAGGAAATGAAAAAGGCAAACCACAAATAGCAACCATTTTAGCTAATTCTCTACGATCTTTTTCTTTACTATATGTGCGGTGTGTGCTTCGGCTAGCCGGATTAGTCATATTTAATACACTTTGAACCATATTAGAACCTCCAGCTCCCATAGAATTTTCAGGTTGAGGTATTCCATTTCTATTAGCCCTTTCTATATCATCTAGGCGAGCAAATTCTTTATTACACTTTCTCAAATGTGTTCTTAGTCGTCTCGTTCCCCCTTGTGTACCCGTAGTTACATGTTTCATGATCAATTTACATTTCGTGCAAGTAACAGTAGTTTTTTCCTCATTTTGTACCAAAAATTTCCATACTAAAGATCTTTTAACACGTACAACGGTATTTGAAAAAGTAGGTAAAGAGGGGACTTCATCTTGTTCCGGTAATTCGGTAGCCGGACTAGTAGGGGTAGGGGTCTCATCATCTTCCTCATTTATTTCTACTTCCTCATCTAATTCTTCCTCAAAATTAGTAAAACATCTATTTAAAGTTTCATGATCTACTTCATTTTCGAAATTAAATTCAATAGGTCGTGAGTCTCGTGTAAAAGAAGTTTCATCAACATGAGTATAATCATTAGTATTAATTCTAAATCTAGGAGGTGGCAAATTTTTAGAATTAGAACTACTTCCTCCTCCCCTATTATTTTTTCTTTCCGACATTGGTCTTTTACCACTATATTTTTCAAAATTCATGTTCAAGTTTAAAATAATTAAAATTATGAAAAACAAGCAAAGATAATATAACAAAAAAATAAAATAACTTAATTAATAAACAAATAAAAAATTAAAATTGGAACGAATGTACCGAACGTCTACGTAAAAGTAGACGTATAACCAAAGCCGAAATTGAGAGATGCCTATTGAAACTTCCGATTTACTTCAAACAAATCTCCGAAATTCGAACTCCAAGTCAATATCACAAAATAATAATTATGAATTTATGAGAGATTGAAAATTAAGAGATTTTATAAGATATTAATGAAATAGTTTGTGAATTTGTGATTTAAACGAAAAAATATGAGTATATTTATAGTGTTAAGGGGTAGAGAGAGGTGGGGGGCTGTTTGGAGCCGTTTTGGGCCCCAGCTCAACGGCTAAAAGGGCCCAACGGCTCTTTAACGTTCACATTTAAAAAAAAAAAAAAAAAAAAATTGATCGTTGAACCGGATCAACCGAATAAAAATCTGGGTTCCGTTTCGGTCCCGGTTCCGATACCTATAAGACCGGTTCCTTCTGGTTCAATCGGTACCGGTCTTATCGGTACGGGAACCGGACCGGATTGGACAGGACAAAAACCGGTCCGTTCGCCAGCCTTAGTTGTCCCTATTGCTCCAACTGCTTGATAAAAGTGGTGTGAAAATCTACCAGGTAATTCATACAGGAGAAATCACTTTTCATTTCTTTCACACCTGCATAAGCTGATTCAACCTTTTTTACAGCACCTAAGCCAAAATATCCTCTATTTTGGACATGCTGGAATTACCACCAACTCAATCTCTATTATCTAGAGGCAGATATACACCACTTCGGTCATTTCTGTAACCATCTTTATTCTGCCAGTTCCCTTGTTCTTTGTTTCCTTATCTTTCATACTTCCTCTCTCTTGGGTAGGTCCGACCTTGATTTCTAGAATTATATCCTTTGTTTCCTGAATTATAATTCTTAAAACCCACCTTGTTACTCAAGTATTTGGCCTCCTCATCTAAGTCGATGACCTGATCTTCATACCTGTTTGAGGCCCTCACAACATTTACCTTCTCAGAACCTGTCATGGTATGTTTTGTGAGTAAATCCATTTGGGTTCTCATGTGAGCCATATCTTGATCCTTTTCTTCTTCTCTCTGCAGCTAAGAGCTCAAAAGTGATCCCAAGATCTCGTACTTCAGCATCCTTGGTGTGCCATGCTCTATTGTTATTAGAGACATCATATATGACTATCATAATTTCAGGAAATGGCTTCCTCATGAATGAACCTCCACTAAATGCATCAACGATGGGTTTAGTCACAAAATTCAGTGACCTGTAGAATACTCTTTTCAAGTGCCTTTCATTAAGGCCATGGTTTAGACATTTCTTCAGCCTCTGACTAAATCTCCACCAAGTATGATGCATTGCTTCCCCTGAGAGCTGCTTGTGTGCCCCTATCTCATCCTTCATCTGTTGTTCTTTTGATTCAGGAAAGAACCTTTCCAAGAATGCTTATTTCACTTTAGCGTAAGTTCTTATTGAATCATCTGGAAATTAATTCCTCCAGCTTGTCGCCTCCCAGTTAAATTCAACGAAAATAACCTCAAACTTATAGCAGTTTGACTGACCCTAGGGATTTCCTGTGATTTACAAATTGCTACAAAGTTCATCAAGTGTTGGTTAGCATTATAACACGTCGCACCCCTAAACATTCCCTTCAAATTCAGTAGTTGAATCATAGTACTGGTGATTGTGAATTTTACACCTGGAGGTAGTAGGGATAACACTATCGCTCCGGTGGCTCCAGCCCCGTCAAAGTCCAGGTCATCTTCCTAGAAGATCATGTGTTGATGTTGTGGTGCTTGGACCCTTAGAGCTATTGGTAGGTGTTGAGGAGGAGCTATCTCTTCAACGTCTGCTTACTTCTCTACAACCCTAAGTGGGTCATTTGTTGCATTCTGTTGAGCACCTCTAGCAGCAATCTCAGCGTCAAGTCCCAATCTCTGCCAATAAGCTACGAGTTCCTGTGTGTTCACCATCTTGCGCATAGTTTTGCTATGTTCCGAGTCGTTAGGAATCAATGGAGCTCTCTTATTTCTAGGATTTGGCATGCACTATTGAACTCACCTGTCAAAGATAACAACAAAGAATAGGACGTAAAATTCGGAAATATAACCACAATTGGAATAACAAGTAGCAAAATATTTCTGAATTGAAATTCCCCGGCAGTGGCACCAAAATTTAATACGTCAAAACTTACACTTCAATTAAGAAATGCAAACGATCGATGCTAATTTATAGAACTAAACGTGAGTTGAGGCACATCCCAAAGAGAATTTACATAGAGAAATAGTTTCACTGTCACTTTTATTCAACAGATGTTATAACTTACTAAGTAAAGTAATTCTAAAATGTAAAATGGGTTTACGCGTAGTTTTCAAGTAACTAAAGTTCGCTAAGTCGCTCACGTTAATTCAAGTAACATGATTTTTTTACTTCAAGGTTGTGATGATAGATGAATGAAACCAGGATTGTGTTTCCCATGACTTTACATCTAGTGTTTATTCGTGAACAAGTTTCGATTGATTTACCCTTTACAAATTACCAGCGAGTTCAGTGCATCTACCACTTCTCAGTCTTGTTAGATAACTTCCAGTCGAATCCTCTTGGTCTTAGAGTACTGTCTATTTTTACCCCGCATGTTTGGTGTCAAAATATCTTTTCTCGTACTCAAATTTTCACTCCAAACTAATAGTTTAATTCTACATTTTCCTAACTACCACTTTTCTCTCGAATAAATGATAGATACATGCAAGTTCTAATGTGTGCACTCTTTAGAAAGAACATATATTTAAAGTATGAATTATGTTTTAGAAGTAATAATCGCACTCTTCTCATTTTGTAAATCTACACTACGATTTTTGTCATGGTTTCCACAACCCTAGTTGTGGTGTTTAGCCACTCATGCTTTTAAGTGAATAAGCAAAAATGCAAATTGAATACATAATGAGAGATCACTTACGAAGATTGCGAATTCAACGAAAGCTTGATATTCTAACAAAAATCAAACTTCAAGTGTCGATCCAATGTTAATCGATAAAAACCTATGTAGGAAACATATAGAAAGTAGTGTAGTAGAATATTCTGGAGGAGAAGATATTGTCTACAGATGGTGTAGTGAGATTTTTACCAAGCCCCATGGCTCCTATATTCCTTTCTGGGTTTGAGAGTTCTATGTTGAGTACGGGAAGTTGTTGCCGAAGGGTAAGAAGAAGGACAATTCATTTACCTCGGTTCACCGTGTGGTGGTACGCAGTAGGAAAGACATATGCAGCAGCACCAAAATAAATAAGGTGCTTGGGTGTGCGTTGAATGTGATCCACTACTTGGTGGTCGGATACAAAAGATGACCCTGGATGACTTAAAGGGTTGGCTGGCTCAGCTGATCTTTGCTATCACACCGCCATGGATTGAGGTGGGTGTCCCGTTGGAGAAAAAGGATTTGAATGTGGCTTTCAGATAGTGGTTCGGGTTTATCAGCAGCACCTTGATGCCATCACAAAAAGATTCCATACTTAGACATCCGAAGGCTGCATTTTTAGACCGCATCATGGAATAGGATAGACTAAATATCGGCATGATCATTAGGACGAAGATGGCCATGAGGGCTAAGTAAAGTTAGACTTCTCTCTCATTTCTGGTATTCATCATGGATATTTGCAGACGTGCTCGGGTGCCATTGATAGAGAAGACAGATGTGGAAGTGCCACTTCCTCTACTGATATCCGGAGGATAGAGGCCGAGGACACTAGAGATGAGGCTAAGAGGAGAAGAGCTGCACCGGTGGATACTTCCCTGGGGGTTGATGTGGAAATGTTGCCAACATATGCAACCCTTCCTACTCAGGCCGGTGAGCCTTCAGGTAACCCTGACACTTCTGCTACTGCACCCTCTAGTTCTGTTGTTGCCCCTTCTACTTCTCCCAATTGTGTTGTTGTTGTTGCTACTTCTCGACCCCTATTGACCGAGGCCATATTGATCAAGATGGACCATCTATCCCAATCTGTTGATGTGTGTGCCTCTTGGGCGGAGTGTGCTATTCTCGGGATGAACGAGTGGGCTATTGCTACTGCCTTAGCTCTTATTTGGGCTGAGTTAAGAGAGCACTAGGAGCTAATTACTGCTCATGGATTCGCAATGGATGCCCCTACAGTGAGATTGGAGCCATGTGAGGAGGGTCCTAGGAAGCTTGATGATGTGAATGCCTTGAAGGCTGATATTGTTGGTTTGAGACGTTATGTGGATGAGCTGAAATCCACATATTTGACCATGTTCTTTGGCACGGTAGACCTTACTGAGGTTCCGAGCACAAATTTCCTAGCAATTTCTGAGATCCCTCTAGCTACCATGACCGAAGATACTGTTATGGTTGATGATGATGTCGACTCAAAAGCTCCTGAGACTGATGAGGATGAGCTTGGCACGCGAGATGCAGAATTATATGATGATCTAGAGGACCTCGAGGGGGAGATAGTGCAGACTGTTGTGGAGAGTCTATAGGATACATATATGGTGGACTCCATTGGAGTAAAGGATGGAGCTGGAATGGGTACTAATGCCCCGACTGATGGAATCACTGATATAGAGAATTCAGTTTTATTTTTAGACTTATCAGTTTATTTGCATTTGAGGACAATTGCTAGTTTAGTTTAGAGGGGTGAGGTATATTCATACCTACCTCTTTTGGGCTATTTTTATGGATAATATTTTCTTTTGTGAATTATTGATTTTGTTGGTGACATTTGGGTTGTTATCCATTGGTTTTAATGTAAATGTGGTTTTGACCCAAACTAAAAAAAATTTCACCTCTTGTTGTTTGTGATTGTGTCTATTCTCTTACAAATTTGAGTGTCAGTTGCGATCAGTGACAATGACTTCAATAGTTCTCTTAATTGAAAAATATGTGTGTGATTCTAATGAGGCAAATTGGAGTTGCATAAGTCATATGTGAACTCTTAACATATCATGGTGACTGTCTCGTTATTGAAAATGAATCTAGTGATCATCGTTGCACGCTAGCTAAAATTTTAAAGTCTTGTTTGATGATTCTTATGAATGTCGTGTGTGGTGAGGTTGTCTTGGAATGTGTACTTGATATACCTAGAACTTGCCACATTTGTCCAATCTCCTAGCGTAGGCGAATGATAGAGATGATCTTAGGCAAAGTTTGTGGAGAGTGAACAAAAAATGATATTTTACCTCTTTGTGACCACCTTGTGAGAGTGTGAACCTTGCTTGGCACCGTTTAAGCCTACCCTTTTCATTGGATGAAATTTGAACACATTGGACCTCTTTCTCTCCCACCTAAAATATTCATGAAGCATTGGTCATTTTGAATAGACAACTTAGTCCAAAAGCCTAAGTTGGGGGTGTGGGAAAAAAGAGTAAAGTCTAGAAGTTGAGAAATTCTCCCTAGAAGGATCATGTTGAAAAAGATTGAACCCGTCCATACAAAAAAGTAGAAAAGAAAAGTGAAAGAAGAAAAAGATCGAAAAAGAAAAGAATTATTGAAACAAAGGAAACACAATGGACAAAAGAAATGAGGTATCCAATGAGTCATACTTAAAAGGACATAGGATGGATTGTGAAAATTGAAAAGAGTGAAAGAAAAGGATAAAAGGTGAAATGAAGGCCATGCTTCATGAAGGTGGAAGTCACTAAGCCAAAATGATTGTACCTTTACCCTCAGCCCCATTACAACCCTTGAAAGACCTTTGTAAACTTGATTGAGCCAAATGTCGTGTTGATTGGAAAATAAGGGCAGGGAAAATCATGCATGTGTTTATCTTTGAGAGTGTGAGAGTTGCTTTTGATTCCAAAATTCAAAAATTTTGTTGATGCTTTGTATGAGAATGGAATCATTCTTGATGTGAGGGTATTCGAATACTCTTGATGAGCTTGAATTTGCATTTGAAGCAAGCATTGTGAGCTTGAGTTCTATTTTATGATGGCTACTCACAGTTTGAAACTTGGAGTACACAAGTGAACATTGAATGAGTAGATTAAACTTCATGTTCATGCATCTTGAGTCTTGAGTAGAATTATTTGTAGGCATCTCTGTTGAGCTAATTGATCTTGTGTTTTACTTGAAGACAAGCAAAAGTTTATATTGGGGGTGTTGACGATTTGGGGATTTTGACTCATTGAGGACTTAATGTCCATAGTTTTAGTGTCCACAATGCCTATTTTATGCTATAAATTGATGTTAAAGTGTTAATGTGCAGTAATATATGCAAAGGAGCAAGGCAAGGACAGTAACGGGCAACAAAGAGCGGAAAAGCTAAAAAAAAGTTGAAGAAAAGCAAGGCTGATGATTGCCAAGATCAATTGACGAATCGACAAGTGGTTCTTTAGCTCGACAAAATTACTAGAAGGCCAGCCTTGGGAAAAAGACAACTCAGCGATGATAAATGCAACTCAGTGAAGCGTCGAATTGAACGACGATGGTAATTCTGATCACCTAAAGTTACAGTGAGGAAATGAAAAATGAGCAAGCCAAATCTGGGAACGTATAAATAGAATTTTGAAAAGATGAAAAGGAGTTACGAAAGTTCTGAATGTTTTCACATAGTTCCCACACATTCTAACTTTGGGTTTTTGATCTAGAACACATTTTTAGTCTTTGGAGAAGTAATTTAGAGTTCGGTTTTCATTTGGACTTAATTTGGAGCATTGTGAAGACTTGCAAATTGTTACCCAAATTGATGGAGAATATAGTCGGTAACGTTTTCTTGTGTTTTTGTAATGTTTGGCTAAAAACCCCATCCTTTGGGTCTGTGATTATGTGATTAATTGTTTCAATTAGCTTATGAGTGTTACTATTTACTAATTTAAATATTTTTTTGAAGTGGGTTTAATTGATAGTTGAGTTTTCATTTATGAATTGTAGTTGGAACTACAGTTCTAACTTAGTATTCAAAGCTTGATTAAGAAAGTAGTTATTGGATTAAAACTATCAATAGATGATTATAGTGATTAGGTTATTGTGGATTCAGCTTGAGAATGTGAATCTGAATTTGATCATACCAATCTAGCTCGAGAGAGTAGATTAATTGAGGTTTTGGGTTGCTCATAGTGTTAGGCTTGTCGAGGTTTGAGAGAACTCACCTGATTCGTGGTAGTTGATTGAGAGATAGTTATTACATGCAAAGTCCAGCCTACCCACTAAGATTCAACGTCTTTTAGTAGATAATAATCATCCATACAATGAAATTGACATTTAATCGATCACATCCCTAAGGATTCCTCTCTATTTGATTACTCCTCCGTTTTAGTAGTTGTTAATCATTCACTTTAATCCCCACAATTGATACTAGTTGTAAAACGCCTGCAATTTACTTTGATTGTTTTGATAATTTTTACTTCTACAGATTATTAGAACACACCTTTTACTTCGTAATTGAATTCTCTACCGTATACTCCATGTGGGATCGACCCCAACTCTTCGTTGGGTTTATACATGATCGTGACTGCCTATACTTAGAATTGGATAAAGTGTAGTTGAGCATTATAGCTTTGCTTGTGGTGTAGATGATCCTGCTTATCCTTGTTAGCATTGATTCGTGGTGGCCTTAGACTAGGCTGAAAAATATATTCTTTAGGTTGTATTTTAAAAGATTGTAGTTATATTTTTCTCCCTTTAGGTATTATTTTATGTCATTCTCCTAGCGATGATGTGTGTAACCTTGTTGGCTCATCACAACTGTGGTTTGGTCCTTGTTGTGCTCAATCTGGGACTAGAGCGGTGTGATTGAGGTAGGGGTCATCACTTGAGTTTGCTCCCCCTATATTTATTTGAAATCACTTTTTGATCCCTTTGCTTTTTTATTAGTGTTGGGCATGTTATATCATTATCGAGCTTATGATTATACTATTGGGCCTGAGGCCGTATGTGTTGACCAGATGTATGCAAGTTAGTACTCATTGCTTCAGTAGTGTGGTTTCATTTGTTGTATAATAATTTGATTTTCGGTGCCTTGCTTGAATTCTGGTGATGACTTGCATTACATTGTTTGTTCATTCTCACAAATTTTGTGGTATTATCCCGGCCCATGCATTGGCATATTTATCGTTCATGTTGAAACACTATTTTACTCAGTTTTATTTTAGACTAGTTTTAATGGGACTCATAACACCTCGATCACTTAACTTACTGATTGTTTGAGAATACGAAGCGTTAGGGATGTGCTCCTTTATATAATTGAGATATTAGAGGTATCTGAGATGTGTTCAATTTTTACTTGACTAATCAGCGTGTCGATGCCCTTTCCTTCATGCTTTTGGTCTTGTTGGCGCCCCTGTGAGTTTTCTAACTGGGTAGGCGGCCCCAGTATTAGTTATTCATGACTCGAGGTTGTTTCTTCTATTGTGAGGTCAATGCTTATGGTTTGAGGCCATTATTTCCAGTACGAGGGTGATGTTGACGGTTCAAGGTCGTTAATCTTATTCCGGGGTTGATGTTTTGCAGTTAGAGGTTGTTACTTTTGGTTAGAGGTTTGGATGGTTATAAATGATTCTGCTGCTCACCGTGCCAGTATACTTGTGTGTTATTCGTACCCTCTGATTTATAGGGGCCGATTTTGTTATGTTTTCTAGTTGTACCTTTCGAGCTTAAGGGGTTCGGTTAGGTTATTCTTGACTATATTTTGCACTCTACTATTGTTTTATTGTTACCTAGTAGATTTTGACTTTAGAATTGTAGTTGTGGGTCCTCATGACACTAGGTAGTTGACTTGGTATCTTAGTTGCTTGCGATTAGATTGTTGGCTTGCAATCCAGGTGCGTCTTGATCTGATTTCTTAACCCTTATTTCCTATTTATATTCTTTATTTCCTTGCTACTTTAGTATCTCCTATTTAGTTACTTGTGACATGTTGTCCTTATTACTTGTTGTTTACGCTTGCGCTATCTTTTGAGCTCAATCACCCATTTCCTTCTGAGTACCATTTTTGGTACTCATACTACACTTCTGCCCCATGCAGATTGCATTTGAGTTATCACCGTTGATTAGGAGTCATGCGGAGAGGCTTGGCGTTTCAGAGATTTTGGTGAGCTTTGGGCATCTAGAGTTACTGGTTTCCATCTGTTTTGTCTAGTAATATTCTTTATATTGTATTCAGAGAAAGAGAGTACTTGTCTTGTAATTGTGAAAGTCTTGTACTCCTATTTCAGACTAGATTCTCAAATACTAACTGATGTTAGGTCTTTTTGTTTTTATTATTGGCTTCTACTTGGTAGCTCGTTGCTTATAGCTTTGAGCCAATGGTTAAGCTTACCTACTGGTGGGATGTAGTAGGAGTCATCATGACTTGAGTAATTGGCTCGTGACAGTTTGGTATCAGAGCTCTAGATTGACTAACATCATTGGTGTGAGAGAAAATGCCTAGTAGAATCCTGCGGATTGGTGCAGAGACGTTTGTATCCTATTTTAAAAGCCTATCGGGCATTAATAGGAAATTCTCTTTTTGACTCTAATCAGGTGTTTTCGCTTTGAATAACCT